TTTTCTTTTCTCTTAAAAAAAAAAAAAAAAAAAAAAAAAAAGAAAATTTCGTTCCCAACTCGTTTGACTCGGATGGTAACTCGTCGTTCTGTTTCAAAAAAAATGTCCGTGTCAACAAAAATGTTACAATACGTAATCGATCGAGGGACAGAGTAGAAAGAAAAGAAAGAAAAGAAAAGAGGAAAAATTGATTTTCATTTCAGTCGCAACACGAATGCAAGGAGCACGGCGAATCACCGCGTGCCAGCAGCAAGGATCCCGAGAACGTGTCGTCCTCGGGGCAAACCGCGAAGATCGCTGCCGAGACTCGCACCGAATCATCCGCGGAATGGAACCTGAGGAACAGTTCCTTGAAGAAGCAGGAGAACACTCCGATCCGCGACACGAACTCTATTCTCGAGAAAATCGCCGAATTTCACAAGGTAAAGCTCACGTTTCTGTCCGTAATTCTTCCATGTTCTGACAGTATAGTTGTATAAAGTTGTCAGAAAGTAGAAAAACAGTCGGAACTATCGTGTGGGATTAACCGAAATAACCAAGTGAAAATGCTGAAAAGTAAAAAAAAAAAAAGAAATCCAAGTTTTCGCTGTAACCGTTATAGTTGAAGTGCCCTTGTGTTTCCTTCTTATTACGGTTGTTTCTTATCACGGAGCTATTGTCCTGACGTGTAACTTTTTATTTTCGACTCATCGCGGGGAATTGAAATTTCACGACCGTACCATACTTCGTAAGATATTACGTAGGTATTCGTAAATCGTTTCGTTTGATTCTAAAAAAAAAAAAAAAAAAAAAAAAAGAAACTGTAAAGTTCATGATGGTATATAGAGATATATATTAGCAAACGTCGATAAAGTAATCAACTGTATTACGTAGCATCAACATGCACGGGGCAGAGACGCGGCAACTGGTTCGCTGCATCGCACGCTGAGCATTCATACGACTGCAATCGAGCAGACCTACATGGCCGAAGAATGTGACGAGAATGACTATCATTTCGATCTCGATTCCTACAAACCGGTACAGCCAATCACGTTCGACCATGGGGTTGCGTTGTTTCCTGTCGCTGCTCCGCACTCCGGGATGGATCTGCACCTTCTGCAGGTAAACGTGCGATTTACATATTCTACTTTGCTCTCCTTTTCCCTCTTCTTTTTCTTTCAATTTTTTTTTTTTTTTTTTTTTTTT